TAATAAAAACTTAACTGACCTATGTGCCTACATACAATATTTAACTACATAATTTTATATTACATTACGATCAAGTTTCAAACTTTCAAATCTTCTAGAAAATAATTTTGGCAGATCTCTTTTAGCAATTTCTTAAAATCTATTTTTTGTAGTGCAACAGCTAGAATTTTATAAAAAAATCATAATCAATCGCTGTGTTAGTTACCGAAAAATAACCAAGATGTGATTTTGCGTAAATGTCAGTAAACTATACAAATTGTTATCCCACACTATAATGTTTCTTTCATGCGAGAGTGTCCCTTTTTCGATTTCTATGGAACTGTCGCGTGTCGAATACCTATCAAATCTTGTCAAGCGAGCTTCTGATGTAAACAAAAAACAACCCTCTGGTGACCCAAGCTGAAAGCAGTGCTCACTTCTAGCGCGGAATGGCCCCTCCTCCTTTCTACCTCCATGGTACCGACATCTCACCTTAGCCCAGTTATGTGGCCTGGCATGCGAGCAAGGTCTGTCCCCCTTTGGTTTGTCAGAGCGCTACTACATTCATTGCACATGTACTTTTGGTTGTCTTAATAAAAAACTATATTGCAATCCACTGCATAATGAATTTATGCTATATCAAAATCTATAAACATTGTATTACATAAATACATAACTGAAATGTATTTGTGGGTCTCAGAAAACAACTTCAGGTACCGGATGTGGCCTGCGGGTTGCAAGTTCGAAATCACTGTAAATGGCTGGCTCACTAGACGTGAAATTCATATTTTACATAAATTGTGTTATTTCCCCATGTGTACCATTTACCGAGCCACTACACAAAAATTCTCAGATCATTCCAGTCAAAAAACTCTTATTCACTGGTGAAAACTATAGAGCTCAAATTCAATATAATAACATTTTGCTGCTGAAATACTAGATTAAGCATTCCTACTCATATGTAAGAATTAGTAACAGACACTGTAGTTTCGTACTTGCTAATCTCGCAGCAGTACTCCGGGTCTCATACGAAAGAAAAGTTCATAAGGTCTCCCCCCACCCAAATTTGGATCCCTGCATCCCGCTTTGCCCTCAGGAAAATCCGGTCACCTTATCTAAACCAACAAGAAAAGAAACATCAAAGAATAACCCATATCGTTCACAGATCCTGGCATATATATATACATCATCAGCCAATCAGCAGCAACCATGTTAATAGGGAGACCAGAAAGTAATGTTGCTTTCTTACATTAAATTCAAAATAATACATTTTTAATAAGTTTTTATTTTTAACCACTAATATAATCACTCTCATTATCAACAACCTTTTGCCATCTAATGTGCAGATTTTCAAACCCAAACTGATAAAAATCAATTGTTTTCTGAGTAAAATATCTGGAGAGGACATTTTGGACATCATCCAAATTTTCAAATTTTTTTGCCACTAAGAAAATGTTATAGGGATCCAAATAAATGGAAATCCAATGCTGCGATATCGGCCGAGTATGGAGGGTGAGTATGGCAGTACCTCCCCATCCCAATTCATAATTTTTTTCAGTGTTCGTCTTGCATTGTCGTGTTGCAGAATGACGCCGTTTTTGTTGACAATTGATATTTTTCGATTAAAGATTGGTTGTGTTCACAATAAAGGTCTGCATTAACAGTTTGACTAGGTTTCAGCAAATCAAAATGAACAATTCCGTGAATTCCATCGACATCCAGAAGCGACTTTTCGGAATGTAAACCCTATTAAAACTGCCTTTTGAGTTTTGGATTATCATATAGGACTTGTTTGTTTTTGTCTCCACTAATCAAACGATCAAAAACAGTTTTGTATGGTGCTGTTGAAGTAATATGTTGTATGTGATGGATAGGTTGGCTTTGTTCTTTTCGGACAGATTATGGGAGACTCAAACACCTCCTTTGCTTATTTTCCCATTCTGCTTTAAATGTTCTTGCATGGTCGACCAAGGTTGGTTAAGAGTGTTTGATATGGATTTGCTTCCACTTCTGCCCTTAGCATGTTGTTGTCGACTTGCGCAGAAAAGACATTACTTTCTGGTCCCCCTATTAATTTACCACCAATTGACCTCTGATCTAATTTGCATGAGAAAAAACCAAAAACAAAATATTATGTCAAGAATTATGACCTGGTGGTACGGAATCACTTGGATAGGAATTTTGCAGGGCAATGATGGACCAGTCCAATAACCACCCATTCACCAGGTTTATCCAGAATGGAGGCATCTGAAGGGCATCATTTACGAGACTCCCATTGACCCATTGACACACTGGAGGACCTCGTTGCACAGCTATCCATTATGGCTGCAAGGATGCATTGTATGAAAAATGTTGCCCAACAGAATTTAATTTGGTACCCTGTACATTAGCTGGTAATTGCCAATTTACTGTCAAAAATACCACCTGAGATGATTTCTGCAAACATTCCATACCCTAAAAATTTATTATCATTCTTCTAGAAAGACAGATTTTTATATTCTATGTCTCCCACTTACTACTGAGAAATGAAACAGAAGCAATTCATTATTTCAAGGCATGTCATTTTGTGAAAAAAAAAGTAAAATGCATTCAAAGGAAACTGTACATAAGGAAAGGTTAGGTTAGGTTATTTAATTACGGCAAAGCCTCGAGGGCTATCTGCCTAAGAGGAAGGATGCCTTCGAGGAGGACTTTCTAAGGGTAACTGGCTCGTATACACGTTACACATGGGAAAACCACGGAAAAGACTCATGCAGCCAGCGTTCACGGATTCGAACACGGACCGAACTACCAGTGTTCAGCGACTTTACCGCTCGGCCGCTGGTGGGCGTACATAAGGAAAGTGTTATGTTTACAGCCGATAAAATTGAATGAATGGTTTGAAAATATGCACATGTAAATTTATTTCATTTTAATAATGATGAGAACTAGTGATTACCTGTGGGTTTCCAATCCTGACCACTTAGGTTCGACAGGTCACTTAAGCCTGATAACTCACTAACTGTAGATTCTTGATCTTCAACATCGTTTTCTTCCAGATCTCCTGGCTGAGGATGTGACCTACTAAAAGCTTCATGGGCTAGCATACTAGATGGATTTTCGGATATAAACCCTGAAAGATTATGAAACTAATTACAAACTGCACATAACTTAATTACAAATCTCTGTTATTAGGTATGTTAACTGCCATAAATATTTCTCACCATGTTGAAATATTCTACATTTACACTCAATCCCCCCTTTCTTAAACAGAAATATCTTTACAAGTACAGGCACAAAGACAGCAACATTTCACCAGTGATTACACAGGTATGGTTTCACTATGCTAATTGCATAGCTCAATGCTCATGGAAAACACCCCTAGGTTCTCCATTCCTCTTTCCTTTACCATCAAATCACATAAGACGACTTTCAGGTTCCAGTATTTAGAGTGGCCATATGTTGCACAGACACCTGTGCCTTCTCTGGGATTCGAACCCAGACCAATTCAGTGTGGCATCTTGCACTGTATGTCAAGAAGATACAGGCATCAGAACACAAAACATGGTTTATTGAATAGCACGTTCCTTTCATTAATATTGAACAGTTCATTTATTTATAGTGTCAGGAGTTAATGTCTACCAAGTTTAGCAAACAAAATTTATTTCAAATGAACTGCAATAGATCGACGACTAATTGAAATAACTACATAAGAGGTATGAGGCAGCCTTACCCTGCTAAAATTGATGAATGCAATACATATACAGAAATCAAAGAAAACTTATTCACAAAAAGAAAAATGTAAACATGTTCTCCCCACCTCATACACATATAATGAATTTCTGGAGCATTTACTTCTGAAATCAGAGAATATTTCATTTTGTTTCATACTAAACACAGATCTGGGAAAAGAAATGCTCCTTTGATTGGAGACATTTTTAACCCTTTAACTGTCAAGTTATTTTGATGATTTGGGTAGACAAATTGTCAAATTTTTTTATTGCAAAAATCAAATGTTTAGTAGAAAATAAAATACGAGGGCCATCCAGGAAGTAGATTACGTTTCCGTCTGTGTCCGCTAGGGGCGGGCTAGCGCGGATATTGGGGTCAGAGCGTTGCGCAGCTCAGTTGCATCTAGCGTGCTAGTGAGAGGTTGGCGTGCTCCGTTCAGATACTGTGACGGTTTGAAATTCTGCGTTAATTGAAAATCCCGCGAGCTGCGAGGTGCGCTCAGTAATAAGGTTTCGACTGCAAAAAACTGTAAACCGATAGAAATCATCGGCAGCTTCGTGAAGTGTATGGGGACACATTATCACTGAAGGGAGTGCGTCAGTGGGTCATAATTTTCAAATGGCCGAACCAATGTTCACGACGAAGATCGAAGTGGGAGACCCAGATAGTGACCGCCGAACTTCTCGAAAAAGTCGATGCTAAAGTCCGTGAAAATCGAAATTTCACAATAACGGAACTTTCTTAGTTTTCCACAAATTTCGCGAAGTTTGTTGCACGAAATCATCAGCGAAAGCTTGGTCACAAGTTTGGTGCAAGATGGTTCCAAAAATCTTGAAAAGGACCACAAAAATCAGCGAATGCTGCAGCGTTGAATTTGGACGCTTACCATAAGGAGGGTGACTCTTACTCGATCGCATCGTTACTGGTGACGAAACATGGGTGAAACATGGAACTGTAAAGAAATCTTTACCAGCAATGAAGAAGTGGATCAATGGGTTTTGGACGAGGCGCTGGCAACGAGGTAACGAAGTGGCTGAAGGAGCAGGCGGCGAATTTTCGACAAGGAATTTCCAAGCTCGTACATTGCACGATAAATCCTTAATTGTATGGTGACTATGTAGAAAAGTAGTATTTGTGTGCTTCATCTGTATAAATAAAATGTGTTTTCCTTACTTTGGTTTATTTTTTTGTCCAAAATGTAATCTACTTTCGGATAGCCCTCGATTCTTAAGTAGTTAAAACTGATATTTTGAAATACATGGGTACAATTTTTAAAGTTTTGTAGCCACTGCATATTTGTTTGAGGCGGCTGCCAATCAACATGGCAGTTGTAAAGTTCGCTTCTAGTGGAGCATTATTTTCTAAAAATGAAAAAAATTTATTATTTTCTAAAAAAGAAATAAATATAAGTGAATACCTATTAGTAGTTCAGTAATTCAGTCTTGTGTGGTACAACTGGAAACACTTTTCCAAGCACAAACCAACTCCACAATCACTACATCAGAATCGTGATTCCTTCCTTATCTTTTCCTCATTTTTATCCTTTTTTGAACAACACACTTTGCACTGTCTTGTAGGCGCACGTTTCGCAGGAGTAGGAGGAATATGGGATATGAAATGTCGTTCAGTAAGACGGGCAGGGTTATCTATTGTAGGTGGTCTGCCAACATTCTTTTGTCCAGAAGCTGCATCATCATATTTATGTAAAAGCTCTTCTACAACTTGAAATTCTAGAAATGTAATATGTTTCCCAACTACATTTTTATAGAGCAAATATGAGTTCCAAAGTACCTTGTCTAGTAAATGTAAAAATATCTTTTTATAATATTTTTTCTGGCGTTTAACGGATTGTTGGATGAAAGGATATTTCCTAATCACAGCGATCTACACCATCCATAGTTAGACTGCAATTAGAAACAATCTTCGCCTTGAGTATATCTCCATTTTTTTATTTTTGAGGCTGACCATGGAAGTATCATGAATACTGCTCATCAAACACACATCCTTCATCTTCGGTTGAGGAATCTAAATCATCGATATAACGTTTCAAAGAACTGGACGCTATTTTACAACAAAAAGATCCCATGCACTTTGAACCAAAGAACTTACAACCTCTAACCTTTGAAATCTTCAGTAAAGTGCTGTCATCTTTGAAACTGAGCGCACATTAATTTTCCCGAGATACAGTCTGTTTGACAAGAGATGAAGCCGAAATAAACGTCTCCCGATATATATTCGGGTATAACAATACGATGCACTCAAAAAAAAAAATTACCCCGAGTAATACTTGGGCGTGACATTTTCGAAACACCAAATCTCGGGCATGACAGTTAAAAGGTTAAAAAAATTTTGCCGATGAAACCTCACTTCTGGTTACCACGATAGTTTTAACTTTGTTTTAGCTTCCTGATTTTATTTAAATGAAAATAGATTGATGTGTACATGGACATATTTAAGGCAGTGCGCAATGCCTAGTTTGTGCAATTTCTAGGATTTTTTTTAAGTAAAAACAGATCGATGTGTACATGGACACAGATCTTATACAATTCTTCAAATTTTACTTTGGTTTTGTGAAGTGGCCATCTTAAAATTGCGACTTCCTGGCGCTGATCTTGGCGTCAAGAAAGAATCGCCAATAAACAAGGGACACCCAATTGTAAACTTTTACCCAGATTCCATATTTGGGCTTATTCAAAATTCAATGTCTTTAGGTGCCATTGTTTTTTCACAATGCGAGAAACATACATACAGATTTCTCATTATTTAATTTCTTTAAATATAATGCAGAGCTTGAATATTTGGTTGCAATAATTTGAAAAATGAAATGACGTTTACAGTGAGTCATTGTAAAATGCCAAAGAGAAATTAATACCTGAACGACTAAGATTTTGATATGACTTATTTCAGTGTATTACATTGGTTGAATATTCAAATCTAAAAATAATTTAACTTCACAAATAAAATTAGCTAACCCTTCTGAAAATAAATTCAACATGCATATTTAAAGTACAGAAATAAACTCGGACATACTCTACATAAATAAACTCAAACATCAGCTAATAAACATTTCCAATAAAAACAATACAGGAAGTAAAAGATGAAAATCAACAAACCATTATGTGCAGATTGCTCAAAAATAGGATGAGACTCGATGCTGTCTAATGCTGCATGAACACCATTGGTATCTGGAGATAAAAAATCTCGATTGCTTTGCGGATTCCCTCCAGGATGGTCGTCATGACAATCACTTGAAGATGTTACTTCTAAGAGAGAAATAAAATTTTTATACAATGATGAACATATCATATTTAGATATACATTCCAGATTGTCAAATATTTTCTCTAATTTAAAAAATATGTCTTCAATTTGTGGGAACAGAAAATAATTCAAATTCTATGTAAACAGAATCGAATCATCTAAAAACTAACTGTCAAATGAACTTTATATGCAACTGTCAAATTTACTGAAATGATCAAAACAAACACTTTTAGGCACATAGTACACAAATACGCTTATTGTTCTGTTTTTGAATCTTAACACGATGAAATAGAAACACATCTTAGTTAGTTTTCCATTTAAAAACTTTATTTATAAATTAAAAGTGCACACAACTTTTTCAAAATATCTCTCTACAACTATTTATAAATTAATTTTAAAAATTATTATTGATATCTGCTTACACTAAACAAAAATTTCAGTACATTTCGACTAAAATAAAAAAGTATTCATCAGCTGAGTTAAAGATCAACGCTCTCCATCGACCTCGTGTACTAACGAAATATCAACAAACCCTCTAACACTTAGTTTACAACTAGCGCTCATGACGTCAGGGAAGTTCCTTACGGCCGTCGGAGCATCTCTCCCGTACAATTCAACGAGAACAAGGCTTAACAACACCCGTACATTATTCTAGTCTCGAACCCAGTATTCATTCATCGATGAAGAAGGACCTTGATCCCCTTCCAATGGCGGATTGGGAATGCTCACCAACCGCCATCATTAACATACGAACATCTTACCATTGGAATCATCCTGCAGCCCAGAATCTATACTAAATCTTTCCTCGGACGACACAGATTCATATGATATTAAAGCATCGTTTTCACATGAAGAAAATTCCAGCCGTGGTCGCTTGAAAACAGGAGCCGCACATGAAGCTTGCAACGCGTCCGCCATCTTGAAGGTTTCAGAATAGAATGCCACGTACGACGCAGACGCGAAAAGCATATGACATCATTTTACATCCGGGCATTCGCCACCAACATTTTAAAATACTACTACTACATTTTGGTTGAATTTCTCGATAGATGGCAGCACACTGACTTTAAACATGAATTTTTTTTTTTTAAAAAGAAGGATCCAGGTATCTCAAACACTTCTAAAAATACCTATAACAAAGTTATTTTTCTTTTGCCTCCCACCTTTTTTTTTTTTTTCTTCTGCATTTAATTTATTTCGAATTCTGACTTTAAATTCCTAAAACAAAGAATATTTTATATGATCTTTACACTAATAAAAGTAAATTCCATTAATTTTAGTTATTACATTAATCGAAGATAAGTAGTAAAAATTTAATTTAGTAGAAACTAAATTAATCAAAACAATACAGGAAGTAAAAGATTTCATTTCATACTTTTATCACTGAATAAAGTTTGTTCCGAATCTCACCTGAAACATTTACCTTCAATTCTAACACATAAATTACATATTTTTCATTCATTTAATGTATTTAAATTACTCACTTTTAAATACAGTCCAGTAACATCCTTATTTTTTTTAAAGCACGGCAAAGTTAAATTATTACTGATCACGGCTCATCAATTATTATTGATTACGGATATAGTGTACAATATGTTTTATCTATATTTTCAAATATATTTCGAACAAAACCATATGCTCTTCACAATAAAGACACACACTGTTTCATAGGATATTATATAATTAATATATAATCATAATATTATATAATTTTTTAAACCATAACTATGTGTAAAAATGCCCATATGTTCTCAAAAATTTTAAAATGTTATGTTTTTCGAATTTTTAATAATACAAGCATTAGTAAATAAGTATAGGTTAATGTTATGCAGTATACTCACTGTATATTAGAAAACATATAGATTATAAATAAATGAAACAAATCTATCAATGTGTTCACTAATAAACAAAACGGAGATAATTCATACCGCATGCAAACTGCATACGGGTGATCTTACCTTTGTCAGTGTCTGAAATCTGCTTATTTCTTTCCATTGAATATTCTAAAACCTTATGTTATACACCTCGACATCAACAACAAATTTAAAAATATAAGCAGATAATTTCTAAGGCGGTTAAGTAACTCACACGTACTCCTCTTCCACATGACCACGCAGCTGCTGATAACGCATGTACTTTCAGAGACTTGATTAAGTTAAAAAAAAAAAAAAAAAAAAAAAAAAAAAAAAAAAAAAAAACACACCCGTACAGTCAAACTTGATATTTCCTTCGCTGTGATTCGACGAAATGTTTTTCGTCACGAAAATAAATGAGAATTGTTGTACAATGCTACCATCTATGGGACTGCACACGAACTAAATGTTGCTTTGATAAAGAAAGGTTAAGTATCAGTTAATTATTTAGCGAAAAATAATGCTCAGAAAAGAATTACTAAATGCATTCAATTTTTTAAATTATTATTCGTTTTAATGTTAAAGTCAATAAAAACAATTACTATACCATACTTTTCGTGTTGCGAAGTAAATCTAAAATTGGAGAAAACTTATTTTCAAAATTCCATAAAGATGATAAATAATTATATCGAACTACATGAAATAATTTTAAGAGTTTATAGCGTTGATACATAACCGACACTTTACCGAAAAGGCACTTGCTGCAATATAAGAATAAAATGTTATGCGTTTTACGTTATTGCGTAAGAGAAGTAAACAACTTATCAAAATCTTGAGTAAGAATGAGCGAACATTCTACTTCTGCAATAACCATTAGTTAAGCAAATTGCAACAAAATTTCACATTTGAAGAAAATTTTTAAAAATGCTCTTACTGGAATTTCAGAATGAGATAATTGGCACTGAACAAAGGAATGTTCATATGAAAACAATTTTAAGGTAATTTTAAAAAAAACTACGCATTAAGAGAAAAGATAATTTCAGAATTAAAAAGGGCATTCTATAAATAATATTTTCTGATCAAAATTCAAATAAAAAGAAAAGCGCAAGTATAAATGATAAAGCATACTGCTTCGAATAGATTTTACTCTGGGTTTTCAAAATCCATAATTTTCTCTAATGAAGTGTAACTAATACATCTTCAGAATTCGATTCTTTTAATTTAAAAATAATATAATAATTCAAATTTTCCTAAAAGATCTTCGCAAGAGGATGTTTCTAGTCCAAACAGCAATAAGGGGGGAGTGCGCTGAGAATCAAGTGTGTAATATGAACACTCTTTCTGTATTTGGTTGCCTAATACATTTTTTAAAAGTTGGTTGTTAATTGTTACAATTGCGCACCTTTGGAGGAAACATATTAAACCACATCAGTCGATGATTAGGACATGTTGGTCCTGAAATTCCGAGTCGTAACCCGTTAGCATGTGTCGTAAGTGTACATCTTTATCGCTACCGAAGGAGTGGCTTCTAGGATAGACCAATGAGCTTCCAGTAATATTTCTGGCATTCCATGCGATCTTTGTCCGCTTCAAGCATTGGAAATGTTTTGCCACGCAATTTCCTATACAAAATAATTAAAGCATCGTGGATTTCTTGCGAAAATTTTCAGTGCGAAGTTAAATGAAATGTAAGCAATTGTGAAGATTTCACTACCTGGCTGAAAAATTTAAAAAGAATTACAAGCACATGATGGATATTCCACAAAGCTTGGATTGATGCATCTCGGTTTCTGTTTTCAAAGAACTTCATTTGTCAGCATTCTTTATATCGTAAAGGTATGTACTTAACTTGAAAAGTTGTATAACACTTACATAGCATTTCGTACTTAAGGTAAAATTGACTGCAAAATAGTAGCTGTAATATTCCTATAGATTTGGAATGAAAATTCTATAGATTTGAAAGAAAAAAAAAATATAAACATCTTCGAAACAGAATTTTATTTTAATTAGACTTATTGATAGTTTATGAGAATTAGTTTAATATTGTTAATACTATGTCAAACTGAAATTAACTTGAAATACATATCTATAGATCTAAATAAGGAATTCCATTCCTGTTGCTACAGTTGCATACTATTATTTAAAACTTTACGTCTGTAAGTAAAGTTTTTCTGTATTCATTTCTATTAAATGACTTTAATTTAACATTAAACTACATTTTAAAATGGCACACATTATATTATGTATATATATGTACAGATGTGTGGGTGTGTATAATATGCATCTTAAAAATTATGCTGCCTAGACTGAAGACTACAGTCTGACTTTCAGACTATTAAAGTAAAAATTGTAATACTACTGCCATATTAAATTTGCTAACTTTTATTTATACATTTCTTATGGTGCTCCTTTCGTCAGAAACTTAAAGTATTGGATAAACAAAATTGTTTTAGGGCTGCAAAAGTTTATGACCTATCTGAAGATGTTAAATTATTCCCGCTTCATTTCTTGGTAAATCTAGTAAATACATCATGGAAACACAATAACAATTAAATTTACAAATATAAAAAATAAAATCTGAAAGCTTTCAGATTTTACATTACGCCCAAAGGGCCGTTTTTTTTTTAAGTTTTCGTGTGTCACTTTTATTTATTAAATATGTTCTTTGCACTTAAACCATAAACTTAAATTCAACAGCAATATCGCAAAATAATTTTAATTTTTTTTTTTTCATATCTTTAGAATTTCCGATATACAGTCTCGCCGTGACCTTCGAGAGGGACCTACTCGAAGGTCAGGGTTAAACGTGGCATGAGACACCTGTTGCTTCCCCCAAAAGACACCTGTTGCTTCCTCTTTTCCAAAATCCTAGAATGCAAAAAAATGAAAAGAGGTGATTGACAGCCAGTTTGTCATTCGGGAGTCACACCTTCTTCCCTCTGTGAGGTGTGATAAGATCACACAAAGGGAAAGCTCACTTAAAATGGAAATGTACTTAAGGTCCATCTCATAGTGTAATCACACAAACTGCTGGTTTGAAAGCATGCTTTTATATTTTAGGGAAATTCTTCTTAATTTTTTGTTAATTTCAGATGAAAGACTAGAGAACACAAGAGAAATTTACGCTCTGGTTGATACAAATAAGGTTGTTTCGGAAATAAATTTTCGCAGTTGGTGAAAGGAGGAAAAATATTTCTAAGGCCGGTTTTAGATGCAAACTAAAATTTATCCAAAAGTTGAAAAGGAGCCCCTATGAAGCCAAAGGGGTTGAAAATCAGAATAAGAGCATTGAGGTGTATCAAATAATAAAATTGTTTAACGGTGTCTCTTCCTGAACAAAAAGATATATTACAACCTATATTTACAAAAAATAAAAAAAGGGACGCTTACGTTTCTCGATAATCTAAAGAGTGTGTGCGTGGAGGGGGGGGCGATTCTGCGTATCATAGTATGAAGCATGGTTTTTTTTTTTTTTTTTTTTTTTTTTACATATTATCTAACGCATAAAATACAACTTCAAAAATGCAACATACTTTCTCAGCTGAGTCGATCGTAGTGCTTCATTTTTCAATTTTTTTTTTAATTTTCGGCTGAGTTACATCTGCTTGTAATATTATACTAGTTCAGTTACAGTATGATACGATTTGCACATGCAGTATTATATTTGTTAATTTGTTTTATAAAATAATATTGAATTTAAATCAAGTTGAAAAGCTTTTTACCCATATTTTACATAAGTATGTTCAGCTGGGTTGCATCATCAAAGTGCATAAAAACATAAATTTTATTTTTAAAATTTTAAATTTCCGCCGAAATTTAAAAAAAAATTTTGTCTTTAGACTTACATAACTATATTCAAGCACTCATCACTACAGACGCACATCAAAAGTACCTAAAATTAATTTAAAAAACAAAGATTAACAGTTGGCAACTACCTTGAAAAAATTGTCCTATAGGGGCGCCGGTATAAAATATATACGGGCTCTCAAAATTCAGGATTTTGCTCCAGATTTTTTTTAAGTCTCAATTGTGTGTCCTTAGGGTCCATAAGTTATAGTTCATGCAAAATTTTACCACAGTTT